TAGTCGAATTCAGAGGGAATGAAAGCAGAGATAATCAATCAGATGTGATCTGTGCCAGCCAGAAATCTCTCAAAGACAGACACTGCCAGCAAGCCTGAAACAAAAAGCAGAAAGTGTTGGAGAAACTCAGCAGGTCTGGCAGCACTTGTGGAGAGAGAGAAAGTAGTTAATGTTTCCAGTCCAACAACTCTTCAGCAGAACTCATGAACACCGAACTCGAAATATTGACTTTGCTTTCTTCCCGTGGATGCTGCCTGACCTGCTGAGTTTCACCAGCAATTTCTGTTTTGTTTCAGAATTCCCAGCATCCCCAGTTCGTTGTTTTATTAGAATATATTCTGGAGGTTCTCTACACCCTGGGAAAATAGGAACTATCCAAAATCCAGTCTGTTCTTATTCTTCACGGTGTGTCATAATTGCATTTCGATCAAACACTGGTGAAATGGTTTTGTTCATCTGTGCAATTACCTGCTCATTTCTCTCATTGGCTCTTCGTATCTTTCAGTTATCACTTGACCTCTACTACACTGAAGATGAAATCTATGAGCTGTCCTATGCAAAGGAACCAAAAACTCACCGAACCGTGGTAAGGAAACATGGTCCTGTTCAATACAGTCACCGCAGGAAGACTTATCGCCTGGGAATTCAGCAACGGGCTTCCCAGTCATACAGTACAGAAACAGACCCTTTGGTCCAACTCGTCCATGCCAGCCAGATATCCTCCCTGGTGAATAGCCAAGGTCTTTTCCCAGGGGTAGGGGAGTCCAATTTGAGAGGTCATAGGTTTAAGGTGAGAGGGGAAAGATTTAAAAGAGACCTAAGGGGGAACTTTTTCACACAGGGTGATACATGTATGGAACAAGCTGCCAGAGGAAGTGCTGGAGGCTGGTACAATTACAACATTTAAAAGGCATCTGGCTGGGTACATGAATAGGAAGGGTTAGAGGGATATGGGCCAAATGCTGGCAAATGGGACTAGATTAATTTAGGGTATCTGGTCAGCATGGACGAGTAGGACCGAAGGGTCTGTTTCCACGCTTTACAGCTCTCTGACTCTACCCTAGCAAAAAGACCTTGGCTATTCACCCTATCCATGCCCCTCATGATTTTACAAACCTCTATACGGTCACCCCTCAGCCTCCGATGCTCCCCGGGAAACATCCCTGGCCTATTCAGCCTCTCCCTATAGCTCAAACCCTCCAACCCCAGCAACATCTTTCAAGTTTAACAACAGCTTTCCCATGGCGTATGTGGACCCAGAATTGAACGCAGTATTCCAAAACCCATTGAAACTGGGTAAGAAAGCTGGGCTTTCTAACTGTCTGATTCATTAATGTCCTTTCAAGAGCAGCAGGACACTCAAGTAGGAGCAGGAGTAGGCCATTCAGCCCCTCAGCCCTGCTCCATTATTAAATACAATCATGACTGATCTCATCTTGGCTCCACATTCAGCTCCACCTCCTGACCTCCTCCCCTTCAACCCGTTACTAATTAAATATCTGTCTGTCTCTTCCTTCAGTTTACTCGGTGTCCCAGCATCCACCACACTCTGTGGGAGTGAATTCCACAGATTCACGGCCCTTTGAGAGAAGTAATTCCTCCTCATCCCTGTTTTAGATCTGCCAGCTCTTATCCTAAACCTCTTAGATTTGCCCACAAATGAAAACACCCTCTCCACGTCCACTTTGTCGCCTTACGTACCTCAGCTGGATCTCCTCTCATTCCACTAAACTCCAGAGAGAATCGGCCTAAGCTGGTCAATCTCTCTTTGTAAGACAACTTCTGTATTTAACCAATTATCCGTATTTTTGACGCTTATTAAACCCCTCTTCTCTGGAATGAAGGAAATCTGTAGTCCTGACCCAGTCTGGTTTATATGTGATTCCAGACCAGTTACTCCAAAGCGGTTGACTCTTAAATGCCCTCTGAAGTGGCATAACAAGTCACTCGGTTCAGGGACAGCTAGAGGTAGGAAACAAATGTGGGCACTGCCAATCATGCCCCACATCTCATGAAAGAACGAGAAAGGGATGCAATACTAGACTAGGCAAATGTGCACAAGTTGACTGAGTAATGATGGAAAATAAAATGGACAGTTATAAAGCCCCTGTTCCTCTGTGCTGTTCTCTCACTTACTTACATTGTTACCTACCTTCCCACTTACTGGGAAGGTCCATGCTTTGATCTCCTGCCTGTCCTGAATCAATACATTCTGGCTTGTGACAGAAACGAAACTGACAGGGATATTTGGGCAGAGGTGGGAAAGTGGGAGTGAAGGCCACAATCAGATCAGAGGAACAGCCCAGAGGGGCTGAGTGACCTACTCCAACTCCTGTCTCTTACGTTCTATATTCTGGGAGAAATGATCGAGGGGCTCATATCTGGCAAAGACCCAGCAGCAATGCGCGGTGGTTTAATAAGGGTCAAAAATACGGATAATTGGTTAAATACAGAAGTTGTGAAAAATCGAGAAGACACATAGAAAACAACACCTCTTCCACACTCCCCCCATTTTCGTCAATAGGTTAGAGGGGGCAGGTGAGTATAATTTCAAGTAACTATGCCAAAACTCCTGGCTGGCAAGGGAATGGACAAAACGTGGGTCTGACATCCAATGTGAAGCCTGCCGCAGTCGAATAGCTTGTCAATTGCCACGGTTCAGGCATCAAAACCAGGGAGATATTGAAGGGTGACTGCTCCCTCTGTACCAGGGTGAGTGAGAATGTCACTGGCATCCGCAGTGAAGCTGTGCTTTAAATGAATCGATATGGAAAATTAGAAATCTGTTCCCCTGCTAGTTTTACTGATGGTGTCGGGGGTTTTGTGCTAACCGTGATGAGTGGTTGGCAGCTTGAGGTATCAGCCGGAGCTGTGCGGTCACTGCAGCAATGATGACTTGCATTTATGTGGCACCCTTTGTCATTTCACAAAGCGTCCCACGATTCCAGCATCAAGCCACAGAAGGACAGCTTGAAGAGGTAGGTTTCAACAAAGCAGATAGGTGGCGATGTTTAGCGAGGGAATAAAGAATGACCTTCGGTGATGGGGGTGATGAAAATGGGGAGTGTGGGAAGAGGCAAAAGTGTGTATTTTTCAAGATGTCTTCTCGATTTTTTCTTAGCAACTTCTGTATCTTGCCAATTATCCTTATTTTTGACCCAATCCAGCATTCTAAACTACTGTGTATCACTGGTGGGTCTGGGAATTGTACTCAGTCATTTGCTGGATGTAAATCTCTCCATCATTTCCCCCAGAACTTAGAAGATAAGAAACAGGAGTTGGAGTAGGCCATAGACCCCTCGAGCCCGTCCTAAACTGACTGAGGCCTTGCTTCCAGCATCCTGCCTTGACTCCCTGTCAATCAAAAGTCTTAACATTTCTTCCAAAAATGTAACTTACTCACCAGATTTGTCAAAAAAAATACATTGAAATTGAAAACGACAGAAGCTGGAATCGAATTTGACTTTTCTCCGTACAACCTCCGTTCCTGAGGTACCTCAGTTCGGTTTATAATGGCCGGTGTGGAGATGATGGGCTGAATGGCCAGCTTCCGCACTGTAGGGGTTCTATGGTTCCAGTTACTGTGTAGATTCCTGGTCAGACGGAGGGAGTGGGAGCAGAGAGGGGTGGGGACTCTGTTGCAATGCTGGGGCAGGGACATTCCACGCTCCAATATGGCTGAAAGGGTTTAGGCCTCCCCCGGTTGGGATAACAGCCAGCTGCCGTTGAGCGAATCTTTCACCCATTTCCATTCTTTTGCAGTCAGTGTCCCCCTGCAAGCCACCGGTGGTAGTCGACTGGGCCTCTGGTGTGGCACCAAAGTTGGATGCTGTGACAGTCAGCAAGCATGTCCAGCAGATGGTGGATGTGAGTACACCTCAATCGCATTGTGACTATTAACACCACCCACATCAACGTACCACTCCAATAAGGGTCGGGAGGCTGGGCTCGGGTGCGTTGGTGAGCTGCCAAGGTTCCAGCTGGCATTCCTTTGGTGGGCAGGAAGGGGGGATAATAAGTGTGGCTGGTAGGTTGTTGGTACCCCACAGGGTATGGATGGGGGTACTGGGGGAGAGGTGATGTAGGGCGGGC